GCGGAGGAGGGGAGCTGGCGGCACCGCCAGGGTCTGAGTGGGCGGGGCCCGAGGGGCGCCGCGCGGCCCCCACCTCCCCGCCCGCCCGCCTCCACCCAATGCGAGGTGCCCTCACGACCACAGGTGCGGACCGCCCCGCCCCGCCCCTGAGCCCCGCAGGGCAGGTGGGCAGGTCCTCTGCGGGAGGTTGGACCCCAGCTGACCCTGGGCCCGGGGACCTTGGGCAGAGGGTCCTGGGAGAGCCTGGCCCGCCTGACCTGCACAGCTTGCCGTGTGGGGGCTGGGGCCCCGGGAAGGGGGAGCAGCTGAGGGTGCCCTGAGGACGCCCCATGGCCTGTCTGCTGCGGGGCTGCTGAGTGTGCTGGACCCTCATGGACACCCCTCCACCTGAAGGCCAGAGCGGGGGTGGGGGGCGGGGGGCGGCCAAGCCTGGGAGCTCCCTCCCTGCACCTGCCCTTGGGGGCGGCAAGGCGTGGGATGAGAAGGATGAGAAGTCACCCGCTGCCCCGCCGCGGGCAGGAAGAGCTCACCCCCTGTGCCTGTCAGCTCAGAAACCACCCCCCCCAACAGCCTACCGGGGCCTGGAGCCACCCTGGGGGTGTCCCCGGAGCCCCCACCCAGACTTGAGGAACCCGGGCACACACAACCCTGTGAGCTGCTCCTGTGGCCCCAGGACTGGCCACTAACCTGGTGCCCAGGGAGCAGTGACCACAGCAGCAACTCAAGTGTGAAGCCCACCAGGCTAAGCCTGAGCAGACCCGACTCTGCGGGGCGTTCGGAGGCCGAAAGGTACGGGGACACGAGCCCCTTCGTGGCTGACCGTGGCCAGGGGCCGGGCAGCGCCAGGCCAGGACGGGGGCGACACCACAGCAGACGTCATGTTGCCGAGGAGCAAGTGGAGACCCGGGCTCCCGAGCCCCCAGGCGACCAGCTGTGGCCGCAGCACCCCTCTTCACGGCCAGGGACAGGATGCCGAGGAGGGAGGGCAGGCCGGCCTAGACAGGGCGCCCCACCCCGTGCAGGGGACGGGGAGGCAGCCGGCAGCGTCAGGGGCTCAGGCCTTCGCCCCCCGAGGCCCCAAGGCGGAGGCATCTTCAGGACAGGCCTCAGGTTGGGGCACCCCCAGGCCCTGTGTCCACGGCAGGGGACTGGACCCTGGTGCGGACCAGCCCCTCCTCCAGCCTGCTCACCTGCACGGCGGGAGCCTGCCCGCTGTCCCCAGCACCCCGCTCCCAGGGGAGCCAGGCAGCCTGCAAGCGGAACCTTCCGGAGCCGCACAGGCGCGGGCTGAGGGACGGTGCCTCCTCGCCCCCAGGCCCCCGGCCCGCCCCAGCCTGTCCCCAGCCCGCTCCCTTGGGCTGCCTGCCCCACGGAGATGGCCAGTCCTGGGGGCGGAGCTGGCCGGCGTGGGCACCGCCTGGCGGAGGTTCCTCACGGGGGCTGTGAAGTGGCCTGGCCAGCTGGGCTTCGACTGGTCCGCAAAGACGCACGCTGGGCGGCGACCCGTGCAGGAGCCCCCCGCGAGCCCCCCGCACCCCCCCAACGCGCCAGTCCCATGTGTGCGCCACCTTTATTTCGCTGGAGGAACACGCAGGCCCAGCGAGGCCTGGAACAGACGACAGCTGGAGGCGGGCTGGGGGACACCCGGGAGACACGTCGCGGCTAGGACACGGAGGGGACGCGGGCGGGACAGAGGCCGGCGGGGGCCCGGGGCGGCTCAGAAGCGCTGGGGGGTGTCGGGGGTGACCTTGTGCAGGTAGATCACCCAGAAGATGAAGAGGATGGTGCACACCCAGATCCAGGTGTCCTCCCAGGAGTCC